GCCTGAGTCGAACATCCCTCTACATAATCTGGACGGCCTGGACAAAGTACAAACCCATACAAACAGTAGTCATGTCGTAGTCAGCCAAGTGACCTCCGTTCAAGGCGATCTGCACCAAGGTTTCGGCTGTCTGCGAGTAAACCGCATCATTGGAGAGGTCTTCAGGGAAAACGCAGTCAAATCCAAAGTGAACGTGCGTGATGAAGGGCGTCTTCAAGTCGGCTTGAAACTGGCAGTTGTGCAAGACCACCTCTTTGGGATATGGCTTTCGTGGTATGACAGTCAGCGCATCATATTCTCCACGAATCTCCTGCTCCTGAAAGGTCAAGACCCATTCACCTATGAAGAGGTCCATCAAATACCATAATATATATATATAGCTGTGGCTGGCTCATGTTGTGGTATCAAAAGTACAACCAAATCATATCTCATAAGAAACAGATTCAACAGTGGCCCCACCCACCCATGTCCTTCTCAAACAAAGGCCTCTTGCGCAAGAAGACTTGCACCGCCCCGCGTGTGCCTTCGACCAAAGCGCAGAAACACAGTGGTTGGATCGAAGAAATGGCTGCTACTAGTAGTTTCTTGCTCCTAGTAGCGATGCTCTCTGCTCCTAGTAGCTTCTTGTTACTAGTAGTAAGGCCAGGAGCCCCTACTAGCGTCCTTGCTCCTAGCGATGCGCTTACGCTCGTTCAAAGTGTTTTCTGTCCATGCACAAAAATCGTGAGAACTCCCATGCTTGCTTAGTCTCTGCCCTTGCTTCCGGCGCCTTCTGGCTCTTCATCCTTCTCTGTGGCAAGGAGCTCAGTCCGCGTTTTCAGGATGGCAGCCTCGAACATCTCCTTGTCAGTGTTTGACCAGAGTCAATGGGGGTTTCACTGGGACCTAGTCATGGTGGTTGAGCCCAGCGGGCTCTCACAGGCGTTTGGAGAGCACAAACTTATTGATCTTATTGGGTGAAGCACACTATGGAGCTTGCTCTGCATTGTCATGCCTGCTTTTGGGTGTTGGGAATGCTGAGAAAAAGAGCCCGGATGGCCGTCCAAGTACTCAGTCGCAATACCCAATTTTCTGAGAGGATAGAGATGCTCGCCACCGAGGACTTGTTCAACAACAAGTCTGCCTAATCTCCGCCTCCGACACCAAATCCACATTTAAGGTGGACCAACAATTTCTCATAGGCCACTCTTTGGAAAGGACCCGATTACTTGCCCACTCATTCATGTCTGATCGTCTCCTTATGCATTGAGCGCAGCTCGTTCTTGTCAAACATTTGACGCCCTCCATCTTTGTCAGACGGCCTCTGAACACCCAAAGATTGTGCTCGGACTTGCGCCCGTAAAGGAGGCAAAACTTCTGGCAGCTCTTCCCGATGACGCGAGGAGGATCGTCTCATCTCCTCAAAATCTTGTGAAACGGTCACTGGTGAAAAAAAACAAACGACCCCGCAGATTGTTGGTTCAAGTTCTACTGTCTCATTACACTCTCATCAACAGAAGGACCTTTACCTAGGTAGCATGCATAGCATTGTTTCTTGAAGTCCACGCTTGAGGCCACGGCCAAAAGTCCAAAGGGATCAAGTATGTTTCGGCCTTGTTAACAAAAAGTTGGTTTTCAATACCTCAAAGCCAAAGGTCTAATGCGCGCTCGATCAATTTCTCTTTAAATGGTTATATCATGGGTGTTCAAATCCCACCACTCAGTCCATGAGCACCACCAGTACCCCCCACACACTCAAGGTTCGGAGGGCGGCAGTTTCTGCTTCGGTTGGTTGGCCACCACTGGCATCTGCCGAGGTGGCTGCGAGATGCATCGCCGAATGGGACGCGCTTCTGCTTCTGACCTGGATGGAGTGTCAAAGTTTGGGGGTGCTCTGGATCACGACAGCGTGACACAGAGGAAGGTAGCCAGAATCACCCAGGTTAACAGCGGGAATTGGGTGCTGACGTGCTGACCTCAACTCAAACACCATATCTGCAATGATGGTTCACATGTCACGACGACTTGGAAATCCTTATATAGAATAGCACAAGGATTTAGGTGTTAGGTATCGCACGGTCCCACACCATCCACATCCCACATATTCCGCACCTGGCCGAGATCTGCGGCGACTTGGAGCCCTTGGATCGCTTCGGTGGCGTTTCCAGTTTGGGTGGCCTCCCTGCAGCCCAACCGGGCGATGGCCCTTCAGGTGCCTGGACCGGCGCCTGGGCTGCCTGGGCTGCCTGGGCTGCCTGGGCTGGTGCCTGGGCCGGCGCCTTGTCAGGGCTCCGTGGTGGGGCTGCCGATGCCGCTGTCGGTGCCTTGCTCGGCTTCTTGTAGCTCGGGTTGGAGAAGACCATTGGGTCATTGGGGGGCACGTCACCTCCACGAAGGCCAGCCTGCCAAGACTCTACCTGTCACAGGCACGAGTCCGCATCTTCAAAGCTCCGAGGGATTGCCCTTCCGCAATTCACATGGACGATTTGCCCTTATCTTGGTGGACCTTCAATAAAACAGACTCGCGCGAAACAAATGAAAGTTCTATCATGAAACTAGAGCAGCATTTGCACGGTGCCATCTTGAATGGCGACAATATCCTTCACACCAATTTCCCACAAATGAGTTGCACATTCAGTTGAAGGAAACATGTACGTACTAAGGGTATAAAAGTGTATTGACCTTCAAATTCTGTTTGAAAGCGGCAAACGTCTCCGCTCCTCCTGCGCCACCTCTGACTTGAGCTGTGCAAGGTTTGTGAAGTCTGGCTTCTTCGGAGCTCTGCCAATCGAAGTTGGCCGGTCCTTGTTCAGTGCACAAAGTGCTGCTCGCTCCTGCTGCTTGTTCCCAGATAGCCAAAACCCTCCAAAACCCGTTTTTTTGCTTGAGAAAGTGGAGCCTCCAAAAAACTCCCAGCTCAGTTGTTAGTTTAGTGTCCCAGTCCCAGTCCCAGTTAGGGTCCAATTGATTAGGCGTGGCACGAGAGGTGTTGTCAAGGTCTTATTACAAGATCTTGAATGGGGGTCTATCTCTCACACCTCCATCACTATCGTACTTCTTTTTGTACATATTCTGTCATACATCTTCTCATCGTCCTTCAAAAGCAAAGTGCAAGCCAGACTCGTTTCGCTTGCGGCGTGGCTTCCCGAAGACCAAAGGATCGCTCGAGTCTTTTTCTTCTGGACCACCGCGCAAGCCTGCTGCCCAGGCATCTGACTCCACACTTGGCTTTTGTTGCCTGGGTGCCAAGAAAGGGAAAACCAAAAACATCCAAAATTCACGTCCTGGAAACCCATACAAGTAGCATTAAAAACTAGCCTTCTTCAAAATCATCGGAGAATGCACATGACATGACTAAAGCCGCAAGTGTGTGTAACGTACCAGAAAGGTTCCCAGTTTCGGCTTCCGAATGGGACGGTCCAAAAGCTTGAGTCTTCCCTCGCAAATCCCGCAAGAAACACATCAACCTGAAAAACAAGATGCATGCAAATCCGAAGGTGCTCTATAGCCTTGGCTCGTTGCCACTCCGGCCAGAAGGTTTCATCCGCAGCATAAGCCCCGACCGGACCTTGAGGTGCCTCAATGCAGGGCTCGATGGAAGTGGTTTGCAAACCATGGACCATAGCCATAGCTCAACCATATCATCTGCGGTCATTGCCAAGAAAGGGAAGCTGATTCAGGTTGGCAAGGCTTTTGTGTGGCAGGTGTTTCTGCCGTTAATTCTTTGTTGAGTGTGTGTGAATTAGAAGGGACTAAGTTAGTAAATCAGTGAGGTGCCAACTTAGAGACTGGACCAGCTACAAATCACAATGTTAAAGGTATGTCAAATATCTTGACAGGGACGAGACTCTCAAGACACTCGAGAAAAGAATAGGTGTTGCCTTCTGCTTGAGTTTCGCTATACATCTAGGAACCAAGTTATTAGTGCGAGCGCTTCTTCAAGGCTCAAGTAGCCAGTAGCTTACGTCTCCCTTACTTAATTGAGTAGGTGCCTACTTAATTAAGTAAGGAGGGAGGGCCACGGGCTTTAAACCAAAAAATAGAACAACTTTTGTCCAAGCCACTCTCGCTGGAGCCGACTCCTCGGGTGTTTGGGTCAACTCCCAGGAGGTCTCATGGTCCACCGGCGCGCTGGGGATCAAGGTCACGTCCTCACCACCTGCAATCTCGAGTGAACATCCCAAACTGGAAAAGACCCCTAGTATATAGCGTCCTTGTTTACTAGTAGCGATGCCAGGAGCCCCTAGTAGCGTCCTTGCTCCTAGCAATAAGGCAGGAATGTGTGTCCTGTAAGGGCCCCCTGCCTCCTTTTATATAATTAAGTTTTTTGAAGCCCGTGGGGGCCCTCTGCTTTATTACTCAATTAAGTAGGCCCCTACCACCTACTTATATAAGTTACCTAAGTAAGTAAGTAAGTAAGGGCAACTAGTTAGTAGCTTCTAGTAGCTGGACGCAGAATGGTCAGGCTTCTCAAGGAAGCTCCCCTGCCGCCCTAAAGGCGGCAGGGGGAGCTTCCTTGAAGAAGCGCTCGCGCAAATGATTTGGTTCCTAGATTGTTAGGGAAACTGAATAGGCCACCACTGATTTGATTGAATCTTGAGTAGCTCACCAATATTCACCAATGGTCGCTGACAAAGCCAGCCCGCGTAAAGCATGAAACAAACGCGAGAATCTATTTGTCAGCTCGCCTGGCAACAAGGTGGGATCATCATCTCCGTCCATGCGGTGAGCACTGGACTGGACCCATCGCTGAGTCCACCCAACGAGATTCAAGACCAACCCCGACCTACAAACTGCAAAATGGAGACTGACCTGATATTGCTTTGGTGCGTCACAATAGTAAGCCCTGAACTGCAAGCAGCTGCGGCGAGGTTGATCTCAAACAAGGGACTTTGAATCACTCCCAACTGCAATTACCTTTCGTTGTCATCCTGTTGGACAACTAAAAGCTGCTTGCGTCCAAAGAGGTCAAGAGGTCCTTCCTTCACTAAGTCATTCTAAAGCAACTCCAGGGCCGCCACCACCATGGACACGGTCACCTGATGCCAAGGAGGCCTCATTTTTTGACGACCGGGCAACGGAAGTGCATTGAAATGTAACTGGCATTCCTTCGGTAAAGTGAAGTCATCTCGAATCTCCGTTGTCTCACTGACCATCTGGCAATTTTCAGTCAGGTTGAATTGCCTCATTCTGCATCATCAGAGTAGGTGTGCGCGATTCTGGCACGAAATGGGCCCACTATGGTACTAGGCATGCCTTGCGTTGCTCAGGCCTAGCTTTGCAGCTTAGCTTAGCACAACTCTGATCTTCGCTTCACCCAACGAAGGCTTTAGAAGACCAGTACTGATGATGTGAGATGATCTTCACCTCCCTTCAAACACTAGACTCTAGACCAAACCTGACCTAACAATAGCCCGAGCAACAAGTAAAGTAAACCCTTGCCTTGGAAGCCAGGAGCGCGCGCACCACGCAGTGCGAGCCAGAGGCGGCAGCCTCAGAGTGCGTGGAGGTCCAGAAGCCCCTCAAATGAGATTCAATGGCTGCGATCGATGGAATGAGATGCTCGATCACGCACAAAGTCACAAAGCGCTGGTGGGGTGAGGAGAGGCGAGGTGAGCAAAGATGGAGGATATGGCCAGGCGAAACCATTGGAAAACATTGGCCACAACTGGTGACTTCTCACCAACGGTCACGCCACGGCACTCTGCCGAACTGTCTGAGCTCTCACACCCAGTGGATCGCCTGCACTCCCTCATGATCTTCTGCTGATACTGCTGCCCGGAAGGCCAGCAGCAAGTGGGTTAGCCTGGCCAAGACACGTGACCAGCCTGGTCAGCAAAGTCCAAAACCAAGAAACCGATTGAATCACAAGATCGGTGAAGCTTTTGGATTTGTGGATTCCATATCTTTGAAAGGCACCGAATCCATCTTGGGAGTAGAGCCTCTGAAGTGGGAGTCGCAAAACCTGTGCCAACCTTACCGAAGATAACCGAACGCGTTGGTAGATTGGGCCTGCATCTGCTACGAGTACACCGTTCTCAGAATGTAACGAGAGCTTTCTGCAAATCACTGACAAAATGACACGACAAGAGATGTGGATCGACTGTCTCAGTTCTATAGATAACAATTCCTTTGAGGCTTCAAAACACGCCACTCTTCCTAATCGGAATGTGTTCATCGTTTGCAAGGTGTAGCGTCGGGCCAGGGTTCTCACCTGCAACTACTGGTGGCGAGGTGTAGAGGCTGCTCCTGCGTGCGACTTGGATCCCCTCTTCCAGTTTCAGTCGCAGAACTGATTGAAAATAAAGGTGGATTGATAATCGATTGTTATTTTTCTTCAGTCTTCCTCCAAGACTGACTCTCAAACAAAATAGACCTTCAAGACTCTGGGCGGGTCAGTATCGGGAGTCGGAAAAGCCTGGGGTGTCGGAAAAGCCTGGGGTGCAAAAAGGCATCTGATAGGGCTTGCCAAAAAGGGACGCTACTGGTAGCTCCTGACCTTACTACTAGTAACAAGAAGCTACTAGGGGCTCCTGGCCGTACTACTAGGAGCAAGGACACTACTAAGCCCTCAATGAGTAGCATGGCACAAAATAAACCAAAGAAGCTGCAGCA